TTTGGCTTATAGTGATGAATGCCTTGACGACTCGAAGCAAGTTACTTAAATGGGGGAGAATTGGTGATGATAGATGTTTGCTTTGTGGGTTGGAAAGTGAAGACAGAGACTTGTTCTTTGATTGTATATTTGTGCAGCAACTTTTGCAGGTTGCTGGTGTTGCCCAATGGTTTGCAGAGCCCTGGGAGAGATTGTTGAGATCGGAAACAAATGCTAGCAGGGAGAGCAATGTGTGTTCTAAGGTGTGGAGTATCTGCAACAATATGGCGAGAAATGTATCGCAGAGTCCATGGTGAAGGCCCCAAGAGCGTTGCGGATGTTTGGAAAAGTCTTAAGTTTGATTTGAGTTGTCGGTTAAGTGGTGATTTATCATTATCTTCTGATTTTGAGTGTATAGGTTTACTTGAAAGCTTTCATAATTGAACTGATATTGATTACAGAGTATATAGTGGTTGAGTTGAGGTTAGCTCCTTCTTTTTCCAGGGGAAGCCGCAATGGTCTCTCCCTTTCGTTGTATCGGTTCAGCATCATGTTTTGCGATGCTTGCTTAATAAAATGGATCTGATTCAACGGGGGAAAAAACTCTATCATCGTTTATTTCAGGCTAAATTGCAAGTTTGGTCACTTGAATTACTAGTAAAGTTCACGTTAGCTACTAGAATTACTTTATTACATCCGTATTCACTTAAATTAGGTTAACAGTTCAAGTTTGCTCACTGGCCGTTAATCTCCGTTAACTTTTGCTGGTGTGGCGGTCAACTCCATTAACTTTTGCTGATGTGTCATATTCACTTAAATTATAGTTGACCGTTAAATGAGTGACGTGGCAATTAAATAAATAATAGAATATAATTATTGTTTATTTTCCACCTAATTATTACAAATTAAAAAAAGAAATTCCTAATTCGGTTTAACAAAGACGTGTCCACCCTCCAGCTGACCGCCGTCGATGGACGTCAGGCCGCGGACCTCGGGCCGCAGTCATCGTCCCAGCCGATCCTGACCTAATCAACATCTTTGCTGGATTGTTCTTCATCTTCAGCCAGTCACAAGGTGGACCCGGAGGGTTGGGCGGTTCGATGGACTTTGGGCGGTCGAAGTCCAAGTTCCAGGAAGTTCCAAAACAGGAGTCATGTTAGCTGACTTGGCCGGTGCCGATCAAGCCTATTAATACCAGTTGAACCCCATTCTATCACTTTTTTTTAGTGGAAACCTGAGAGATTCTATCACTAACATCACAACGCCATTAATCAACCTTGCAATTTAGATAAAGAGTAGTAATGTTTATTTATTGCATCAAACAATCCTCCATTTCTCTACCATTTTCCCTACTTTAGTCGCCATTACTATAGTTCATTCATTCTTTCTCTCCTTTCACGAGATCCCCTATTCACCCCTTCCCGTCTTCTTCCTCTCCTTTTCCCGTTGCAGACTCGTGAAAGTTCTCCTCCGCATTCACTGGCACCACTGTTTTTCTTTCTTTCCTCCCTCCTTCAAGATTTCCAACGTCTCCACTTAAACAAAGGCAAGAGAGAAAAATTCCAGAAACAAATCGCAGAATGTGAAGAAATCCATCCCGGATTCTGCCAACGATTTCATGTCGACTCGCTTCCGTGACTCGGTGAGTTGCAGCAGCAGTGCTACTCCCAAGAAGAAGCCAGCTGATTCTTCCGAGGAACGCGATCTGGGTTCCCCTGTTTCGCCTTTGCCAACCCGTAACGTCGCGACGACGGCGAAGTTAGGGGCGGACAGTGGAAAATAATAATTAAAGAAATTAGGATATTTTTTTAATTTATATTAATTAGCTGGAAAATAAACAATAATTAAATTTTATTAAATTTTAATTGCCATGTCACTCATTTAACAGTCAACTATAAGAGTTGACCGCCACATCAGCAAAAGTTAACGGAGACTAACGGCCAGTGACCAAACTTGAACTGTCAACCTAATTTAATTGACTACGAATGGAATAAAGTAATTCTAGTGGCTAATGTGAACTTTACTAGTAATTCAAGTGACCAAACTTGCACTTAGCCGTTTATTTCCATTCATCTCAGCCTGATCACATTTCCTTCTTGCCATTTCCAATAACCGGGTGTAGTATAACGAAAGCAAAGTTTAATTATTAACATGGACGGAAAATGTACTGTTACTTCGCGGACTAACTTGTTATCTAGTAAATCAGAGTTTGGATTAACTTATAACTAAAAAATAAAGCAAAGTAAAGTTGTTGAAAACTATCGAGAGAAAATTACTCGGGTGTCGTTTCCCTCTAGCTACAATATAAACCGAGTGAATGATGTTCCAAACTTATCGACTCATGATTTATACCGCGGAGAATCCTAATCCCCCTTGAGCTCTCTTTCAAGTTACTCTAGCTCACCTAGAACGGACTATTCGAAGGGAGAGTTTCCACATTCGGCCAAATAGAACTTCTAGGGCGTGCCAAATAGATTCCCACTAATGGATGATGATCCGATACGGAATTGTAGCACGATTTCAAGCTCAATCCATCGACCCACAATGAAGAATAAGGTAATTGCTCTAATCAACCTAATTGGATTTCTCTACCTTAGGCTAATAGCAATAATTTGAGAATTTGATCAATACCCAAGCCAATTCCATGAAATATATCAATTCTATATAAAATCAAGGGTTCAACCAAACAAGGAAATCATTCATCATCTAATACAACACATATAGCTAGAGTTCTACAACGCCCAAGTCAAAGAGGGTTTAGCTCATAGTGATAGAGAGAAAAACACAAAATCAAGAGAAGAAAACATCCATGAGGAGTGTGTTCTTGCTCTTGCTCTTCAGTATCCAACCCTTGATGATGGGATTGACCTCCAATTATGGATTGAAGCTCCAATTCTACCCTTAGGGATCTCCTTCATCACTTTCTTTCTCTACCCAACAACTCTCACTTTCTCACTCTAGACTTGATCACCTTTTTCCAAGTGCGATTATTAAGGCACGTGTACTGTCGAAGACGCAATATAGTGGCAAACAATATCGTATTCCACTGAGACTATGAACTACTAGTACTTATCTATGTTTCTTATTATTTAATCGTTCTTTTCTAAGTACTCTTAATTAACTAAACCAACTAACATAGCAGTGAGATTCAACAAAGACAAATCGCTAATACAGAAGCAAATTCAGGTAGAGAGGGCGTTGTTCAGACTTCGAATCCCCCTAACCAATTCATACTTTTTAATTGAATATGCATATACTCAAATGTTATATTCTTTGGTCGTACGAATTCCATAATTGGTATCAACCTAGATACAAATTCTCTTTGATCTAGATTTATTTTTCTTATGATTATCATTCTATGAATCCCTCTATTAGGTTCAACCCTAATCCAGAAGTCTCTCTCCCTTTGTCTTCTAGTAGTTCGAGATCAATTTTATCTATATGAGTGTTCTATCGCCTTTATGGGCATCTTCTTCTCTACATACATATGAAACAAGCAAGCATATAATAGGTGCACTTATACCACATACTTGAAATATCATTCATAGACAAATCAAAGATTATAAATATCAAAATCCATGCAATATCAGTATCATACAACTAGGGTTCATCTAATCCAAACAACAAGAGAGGATTAGTTCATGGTTAATGGATAAATGAACAAAGGACATGAAGAAGAATTGATTTCCATCTAAGAAGACTTGATCTTATGCTTTAAGGTGACTCCTCTAGTGTAGAACTGATGGAATAAATGAAGACAGTGACAGCGGAGGAGGAATGAAGTCGCCAGCAGCTGATGGTGCCATGTTAGTGAAGCTTTGGGCAGGAGAAAGAACGGCGGAGTTGCTCGACAATGAGAGTCGGTTTAGAGGTCGGAGGAGAAACACGAATCAGTATCGCTAGGGATGATGAATATATTTTAATTGAATTTTTATTTTGTTATTTATTGTTATTTTACTGATTTTTCCTTGTTGTTTGGGTAACAACACTTAAGGTGTTGTTATTCTATCTGCACCCTCTGGTTTGCATTAATCTCACTACAAACATACACATCATGGAGACATGGACAGAGTTTAATGTCGCTGAGAGCATTTTCTATGAAAAAACGGTAACAACCTGGGAGCATTGTTCTTGCATAACATTTGAGTCATGATTAATGAATCAAATATTAGGTTCACTTTAACATGGTTGTCATGTCGTCCGGTAAAATCGGGTTCAACCGATATCTATTACAAAACCGGTTATAATAGTCTTGGTATGACCAACATGAGTGATTTCCGAATTTTAAACAAAATGACGTCATTTGGTGAATTTAATTAAAAACTTGATTTTTTTTCTTGAATCGACACCCGCCCTCCAATCCATCCGAGTCAGGCTATTTAGTCGCCACGGTTTAAGCTTCCACTTTGTGTGTGAACCAACCGATTAACCGGACGAAATCCTACCTAACCAGATTCTTAGGGGAAAAAATCCAACAAATGCGAGTGAGCTAGGATTCAAACCCCACACCTCTTGGTGCTAAAAGCTAACTAGTACTATACTTAAATAATTTATATTTCTATAAAATTGTAATCTTTCCCTGCCATATTTGTTAGGAATATATTACAATCAATATATAATTATAATACTATTGATGGTTTCTACTCATACTAATTTTATTTATTTGACACTGATGCTTTAACGAGTTTATAGCGACTTAGTACCGATTAAACCAATAAAGTGACCACTTACTAAACCGTTCATAACCGGTTCGGTTCTAACCACATTGATTTTACTTAAATATGGAATTAGATTTTAGAGATATTGTCTTATATTCTCCTAAATTCATTAAGTGTTAATGACTTTCCAATTTCCTAATTTTTTTTTTTTGATAGGTTCTATTTTCCTAAATTCAATTGATATATACACTGATAGAACCATATTACTTGACAAACCAGCTCAATAGTAACCGGTTACCGGTTTGACACCTTGCACTGCTCTTTCTGTATTTTGTAAGGAAAAATTATTTTCTTTCTAGGGTACGGGCTTACTGCACAAATAAAATAAATCTCCTCCGTCGGCCACTCCTCTCTCTCTCACGCTGCTCCGCCGCCGCCTCCTCTCTCCCGCCGCCGCCGCCCTTCTCTACCTGAAATTTAGCACTACCACCATCGTCCATTTGCCCCCCTAAACCACCACCGCAATCCCAAATACAGCAGCGATTTCCATCAATTTTCTTCCTAAGCGAGACGACCCTCTCGCTCGGGGAAATGGAGGCTGAACTAAAAGAAATGCTTAAAGATCTTGAAAGCCTCAAGAGTTTGCTACCCGATCCTTCCCATCTATCTTCGATTAATAAGGTAACCACCATTTTCCGCTGTGTTTCCTGTGATTCTCAATTTTGAATTCTTAATAGATCCAGTTGCAGTTCCGTGTTGCTCAGATCATTTGATTCCCTATTGTTTGGCTGCCGGGAAAGTAGTCTGAACTTGCGATTCTGCTGTATATATGGAGATTCATTATGTTGAATTTTAGAGACACACAGTTAGCATCATGCATTATGAAATATGTGCAACTTGAGCAAAAATGATTGTGTACCCAGCTACATTTCTTCTCTACACTTCGTTCCATAATTGGAATTCCAACATGCTCTCTATATTCTTTCAGCTGCAGTCACGTGTAGAGCATATTACGAACATGGCATATTCTACGCCAATGAGGAGATCAAAAGTCAAGGTATTCCTTGCATCCTTTCAAGTCTCTTAGTGGCTTTTACGGTATTGAATGAACTTATCTGTCCTTGTGAAGCTATGTGCTGGTGTTTCTGATGTTATATGACTGCTTGCTGTGCTCACAGGACATGAGTGCCGAGGTGGTGGACAGCAATCCCTATAGTAGGCTCATGGCACTTCAGAGAATGGGCATTGTCAACAATTACGAGAGAATAAGAGAGTTCTCAGTTGCCATCGTTGTCTGTATTTACCCCTTCCTACTTTGTTTTGATTTTAATGTTTTAGGCATTAAGATGGTTTACTCATTTCAATTTGTCACTTGGGTTTACCCATAGAATTAATGAGTTTTGCTGTACTATATTCGTGTTTACAAAACTCAATTGATAGTAATCACGTTTTTTTTAATATAATTGCTCTTTCACTGAGTAAGTTTTCTTGATGCCTGATAAGTTGATTGATCCGCTCAAAATCATTTGACGGGTCTTGGTGATTCCTGATCTCTGGCCTTTTTTTTTGGGTTACTGTGTGCAGGGAATTGGTGGTGTTGGCAGTGTTGCCGCTGAGATGCTAACAAGGTGTGGCATTGGCCGTCTTTTGTTGTACGATTATGACAAAGTGGAGTTAGCTAACATGAATAGGCTTTTTTTCCGTCCAGAGCAGGTCTTCATTTTTGTTTGTTCTTCTTAGACTTATAAAGATGAATGCATCTTATCTAAGTTCAAATACGCTAAGATTTGTTATTCTACCAACATTGTTTTCTTCTTTGTACCAAGATTGATTTTTCTTGTTGGGTGTTAATAGGTTGGGATGACAAAAACTGATGCTGCTGTTCAGACCCTTTCAGACATAAATCCTGATGTTGTGCTAGAGGTATGTGTTGCACATGAAGTGGTGTCTCTGGCCTTGTTGATGTGATAGGTTGTTGCGAAGATCTACTTGATTCCTCATGCCAATGGTCCCACAAATATTCAAGTGCATGACGTAGCCATATGCCAGTCATGACTAATATGCATAGTGCACTACCTCTGAATTTGACTCGTTAGCTTTATGGCTATAACAACTAGTATATCATTTTTGGCTTTTCGAAAAGAAAAACCCAGTCACTCTCTGTATCTTGTGAACTGTTTTAACATTGCTTATTTATTTGTTGCCCCTATTTCCTTTTTTCCCCAGAGTTATACATTCAACATCACAACAGTCCAAGGATTCGACACCTTCATGACCAGTTTAAGAACCAAAGCTTTCGGCCCAAGTAAGGAAGGCAATGGGGTAGACCTTGTTTTGAGCTGTGTGGATAACTATGAAGCCCGGATGGCTGTTAATCAGGTAATGACCTGTTCCACAATCGCAAGTGGTAATGGTTGGTTTTAGTACGACTCAAACAGCCCTGTTCTGGAGGTCCATGAAACTGATGATTTACAGTCTACAGAAGTTCTTCAGGACTTCAAATTGTTATTTATGCAGTGAACTCATGAAATTGTTGCTGATGTGTAGGCCTGTAATGAGCTGAATCAAGTATGGATGGAGTCTGGTACGCAATGTTTTTTTTTTTACTTTCTTTGTACAAAGCAGTTTTCTGTAATCTCGCGCCGACTTCCCTCAATGTGTACAATCATAATATATTTAAAGATGGTTATGTCCATGCCTTACAAAAACTTGATTGTAATAGGTTTAAAGATGGTGTTGATCCTTGACCATACCAGAAAGCAGAGTGTATTTTCGACAGTTGACCAATCCATGGCACTGAGCTGGTCTTAGTTTAGTTCATATTTTATATTTATCTCGACACTGCTTTGCCGACTCATGCTTGGTTCAGTTTAGCTAGGTAGTAAGATGTCTTGATGCTTTCTGTTACTTGTGTCTCAACTCTAAACACAAGGACCCAGTCTTTGATTAATGAGTTTGCTCTTCTGTTTAGTTTCCAATGCGAAACTTTTTGAATGTTGCCATTCTCTTAACGGACTAAAAGAAGAGGTTTTATGGTAGGTGTATCTGAGGATGCTGTTTCTGGCCACATACAATTGCTTATTCCTGGAGAAACTGCTTGTTTTGCTTGTGCACCTCCCTTGGTATGTTCAGTTATCCGGCGTGGCCTAGTTTATGTTTACTATATATAGTGATTTGCTTTGGGCTGGTAAATAGAACAGTTTGAACCTCCAAGAAGGTTCATGACCAAGGGCAAAGATGTCTGAGTAATTGTTTATATTGTGTACTGCTGGACCACAATGTGCTATAAAGAACTAACTAGCGAAGATTAGGACCAGACGTTTAATTTCATTTACCATGAGCTGATATTCATTATGATCTCAGATGATTAAAACATGACAGGAGCTTGTGTATCTCATGATTTGTGATTCTTAGTTTTCCAGTGCAGTAATTATCCCCCCCCCCCCCCCCCTTTTCTCTCCCTTCCCTCCTGTCCCCTTACTCTCTCTCAAAATGACAATGATTTTTCCCCTCAGGTTGTCGCATCTGGAGTGGATGAACGCACTCTCAAACGTGAAGGGGTCTGCGCAGCCTCTTTACCAACCACCATGGTAAGTTCTTAAAAATAATAACTATAATTTATCATCTTTCTGATAGGGCATAGCAGTTATAGACCAGGCTGTTTGCGTAGAATGTGTGCTTCTGGTTAATTCTTTGGTACAACAACTTGTATGTTGTTAAATGTTCTATCACTTGAATTCATTGCAGGGAGTTGTTGCTGGGCTCTTAGTACAGAATACACTCAAGCTTCTTTTGCAATTCGGGAATGTCTCCCCTTACCTGGTAAGCTGTGGCTTTAGCAGTTGCATCTTTCTTATCTTTGTGATGTTTTAATACAATGTATTACATATTTTGTTGAGTTTGCTATGTTATGGGATGTGCATGCAGAATACCCTTTCTGTTCTTGATGAGCTGTTGCCATTATTTTTATCGCAGGGATACAACTCTTTGAAAGACTATTTCCCAACCATGGAAATGAAGCCAAACCCTCATTGTTCAAATGGAGCTTGTCTGGAGCGTCAGGTTTAAAATTATCCCCTTCCCTTAGCTCTAGTTAGTTTTCGCTCTCCGTAAAGAAGAGTCACTGGGTCTTAATTACCGTGCAGAAAGAATTCCTCCTTTCAAAACCTGCAAGGGATGCTGCTGCTGCTAGAGCCAGGATGGAGGCTGAGGCAGCATTAGTTGCAGAAGGCCCTCTTCATGATGACAATGAGTGGAATATAAGGTAGTTTTAATACATAGTATGTACATAAGGCCCCCAGTCTGAAAAAGTAATTTGATTGATCAATTTTTTGTTTTGTTTTAATGTTTTGGTCAGCATTGTTGATGACAGCGATGTTGAAGCTAGTGGTGCTGCAATCTCGGGTGAGTTGCTGTTTTTACGATTATTAACTTTGCATCGTTAACCTACCTTGATTGATCCACAGCTATACCTCATAGTGTATCATTTACCGATACCATACACTAAAATTCCTTCCACAATTTTTGTTTATAATACAGATGCTCTCCCTGAAGGACTTACTCGCGAGCTTCCAAGTGCAGACCATTTTCAGAAACCCCAAGCTGCTGAGCCATCTGCTACCATTGTCGATGACCTTGAAGAACTTAAAAAGCAACTCGAAGCCCTCAATGCAGACTGATTTACTGAACTTGTGATATCACTAAACATCCCAACTGATTTAGCTTATCTGGAATTGAATTTTGTAGCCAATTGCCGTTCATTTTACCAAAGACGACATCAGACGTTGAGGATTTGTTGTCTCAATGACAGTGGATAACTTCGAGCAAACAGTATGGACGATATCTGAGAGTTGTTTTTCTCCGCACTTCTCCGCAATTACCATTGTTGTCTTGATTCGGTCTAACCTAGACGCAAGTAATTGTGTAAATGAATCATACAGCTGATTGAACGAGTGTACAACAAACAGTAGAGCCAACCCTAATGGTTCGTCAACTAAGATGTGAGTAGTTCATTCAAAATGGGTATAGGTTTATCTAGGGTCTTCAAACTTGATCAATATTTGGTCCATTTGCGGTTGGAGTTTCCTTACCTGCAACCAGATTCAGAAGACACCCTTATTGAGCAAGACCGACCAACCAGTGTGCAGTCAAATTACAGAAATTACAAGGCTAGGATATAGCGTTGCTTACTTTGACATTAGCCATTGACAACAGTTTGCGCGAGGCAGTGTATGCAACATCTGTATTACTCGAGTTCTTCTCCACAAAATATATGACCTCGGACACACCAGACTGAAACCAAATACAGAACAATTTGTTCAGTCTCCCTGATGGTTCATGAATGAGCAATGCATTTCAGAAGACAAAGATGCAAATTGATCACCTGAATAATTATCTTTGCGCATTCGTTGCATGGAAACATAGTCACATAAAGCCGCTGCGAATATGTAAGAGAGGGAGTGAATTACAGAGCAATCGGTTGCGAAAGCATTTTCAACACCTTGGGAACAAAATCAGATAGAAACTAAGTCTGTAGATTTGGAAATTAGAGATCACTCACTTGCCCTGCTGCAGAAGCATGGTTTGTGTTCAGAATAGCATTGACTTCAGCATGACAAACATAACTATCACCAGCCAAAGAAAGAAATGAGCGAAAATCGGTCTGGAAGTCTAGATCACATAAGCAGATGGACAACTGGAATCTAGTAATGTACAGACGAGGAATACTAGCACTAGCAAGGTTCTAGGATCAAAATCTGTGCATCGGTTAATTCAACTATTCACTATCTAGCCATTGACAAACTCGTTCAATTGTGTTTCAGAAGTCGAGTAATGTGTGCCAAGCAGCAGCAAGCACAGTTAAGAGTAAGTAATGAATTTGACGAAGGAATTACTTACGGGTACTTTGTCTCCAAAGGGTCACCGTTCTTGGATTTCTGAAACATTGTCAAGACAGGTTTTAGTAAGAAGGGATTAGACATGAAACTTACATCCACATACTAACTAACCTTCGCCCATGGGAGTTTGTCATCTGAACAGCCTCTGGGAAATCCATTGTAACCAATGCCTAGCCAACGGAAATTGGAAACTGGAAATGAGAGCCAAATACACAGGCATTCATAATCTCTTACACTCCCAAATTCTAAAAAGTACTAGAAAACACATTTGCCTCAATGTAGTCATGTAATGTTACACTTACACCCTCATCTCGCAGACATGGAAGGATAAATTCTCAAACAAAATGGACAATCCCTGACACTCTCAATTTACTAGGAGGTACTAGGTACGTCTCATTGTAGTAATGTTAAATCCCCTCCCATAAACATAAAAGGACAATGTATAGTTCATTCCGAGTGCAGTTGGAACTTCTGATGTACATAATTGGAAATAACAAATCAGGTTCAAGATGAAATCAATCACTGATGCAATTTGAGTGTGCATACAAAACTGAAGAGCAAGGGCGGCAATCGACTGACTGAATTCAGTAGTTCATCTTGGACAATTATCGAATCCGATCACATAGCTAAAGAAGGATCTCAGATTTCTGGAATGGTCAATCTGCTGGAGCCTAGAGGTAATATCTAATGTTCAGATAGTTAATTCTGAGTTAAGCACAAACCCTAGCAACAGCTGAAGCGGGCAGCAGAATGAACAGGTATAGTATCTCTTAGTGTTCATCCAGTCCAGACACGGTGACAAGAAATTGAACAGATAATTCACAGCCAGAAATTTCCCCTTACCAAGAATGACGCCATTTGGACTAACCAGGCACGCACCGACCTGAAAGAAAGAGAACCGCCAATCACTTTTAACCAGATTGGAAACCCCCGTTAGCAGTTGAGAAATCAATCAAAAGTTGGGGAGCATGACCTGCCTGTTGGGATCTTTGGACCGCTCGGCAGATAGGAAAGCAATTGCCATGAAATAATCGTCCCATGACAGATACCTAACGAGCAGCAAATCCGGAGCACTTACGGTTTGAATAAAAAGATGTTATGCTTAGCACACAGTTCAGCAATCGAAACTTGAACGAACCACTTTCGCTTGGAAGGATCGAAGGGACTGTGAGCAGAACGTTTCTGTGCAGCAGCTTCGCCGTTGGCCGACGATGAACAGATCTGGGAGAGTTTGGGTTTGGAGCTGAAGAAGAAGCGAAGCGCCAAGGCGGATGACAGAGCGCCGAAAATAGTAGCGGTGGAGACGAGAAGGACGTCGCGGGAATTCATTGGAGGAGTATAAGATAGTGATCGGAGAGTAAGCAGCAGAGATTGAGGGGCTTTTGGAGGAAGATTAAAGTTTGGAAGCTCAGCTCTTAGTTGCTCCGAGGGGGAGGTAACTTGCGCAAAGCAGCGGGAAAGCCAAGAGCTATTCTCGTTACCCGCGTAAATATTAGCGGGAAATGAAATGCCAATTACTCCAATTAGATCCCGGCAGATTCTGGGACGGGAATGGAACCCGCACCCACGGGGTATCCGATTAAACCCAATCTGAGTAAAGCGGCTAAAATTCGAAGGTAGGTCGGGTGCGTATCAAAATATGTTGTTCATGAGATTCAAAGTGTGTAACGAGTATGCGTTAAGAAAGATTATCCAACAACCACCATACTCATTGATTCATTATATTATATATTTTGGGTTGTTTGAATCCGTTATTCCAAAGAGTTATTTGAGCATACATTATTTGTAAATAACGCGTTTATATGCTATTATAAATAATTGGGAGTACCCAGTTATTCTCAAATAACGTGTTTTGCGTTAATGTCGAGCCAACCACATTCTGCCTCTTGCCTCTCTCCTATATCCTCTCGCTTTCCTTCTTCTTCTTCTTCTTCTTCTTCTTCTTCTTCTTCTTCTTCTTCGATTCGATTCTTCATCTCGAAAGCAAAATCGATTGAGGAGCGGACGTTTATACTGCAACCTTCAGTATCTATCTGAGGAGTGGATGTTTATACTGTTGTAATATAGGTGAAGAGATAGGAGGCTCATTTTCCTCTGTCGCCCACACTCGAAGCAGTAGTGGGTCGATTGTGCGAGGTCGATTGAAAGAGGATTGGAGAATTAGAAGAAGGATGAGAATTGAAGGGGATTCTTCTTTGGAGGTAGCAACGACGAAGGTGGAGGAAATGGGGTGGGGTGGGGGAGAATTATGGTTTGGGTTGTGGGGAAAGGGGAACACGGTTGCTTATAGGGAGGAGGAAAAGAAGACGGTTGCAGGGGAGTTTGCATTTGATGTGTTACTGGTCGTTTGTTGTTGTATGTTGTTGCTAACAGGGTTTTGGGTTGAATTTGGGATCTATTCCTCTGTTTCTTGCTGACCTAGGGTTCTTGATGTGGGATTGATAAACTCGAGTTAGAATTGGATGGAATTGGCTATGCTTTGGTTATTAGGATGGGTCGTAAGAATGGGATGAACTTGGTTAATGATAATAGTAGTAAACAATTTTGTCAAATGTGCTTGTCTTCAATGGACATGTTCTGTCTTGTGTTGGTATGACATGGTTCTTGTGTGCTTTCGAATTAAGTTTTAGGGCCGTTTTCGTTAGCCTTCACTTGTCCAGGAGAAAGTTTATGGGGGATCTCGACCTTCTTTTATGGTTCTGGTTTTAGTACAACTTATGTGTTGTTGTCTTTATTTGGTTTTTCTAGGTTATGTATGGGGGGCTGAGATTAGGTGACTAAGGGGGTCCCCTTAGTCACATGGCTAAGTGAATCTCAGCCACTCAACCTCATTAAAATCTAAGGGTTCCTATTAGTCTAATTTAATGAAGGGTAATATAGTAATTTTGTATTTATTTTTAATTTTTAATTAAAAAAAAAAGTGTGCGTCCCTCCCCAGCTTCCCCTCTCGGTCGCCTCCCCAGCTTCCCCTCTCAGAATTTCCGAAAAAAGAATTTCCGCCGTCGCCATTATTCCATTCCCCTGGGCGCCATTTATTTCATTCCCCAGAGAGAGATGGGCGCCATTTATTCCATCCCCCATTCCCCAGAGAGAGAGAGAGAGAGAGATGGTAGAAGAATTTCCCGGCCACAGTGTTAACTTTGTGATGTTTGTTGACATATTTTGTAATGTTTGTATGTTTTGTTATTTTGTAATGTTTGTCGGGTTTTTTTGTAATGTTTGTAAACTTTGTTATTTTTGTGCACCATGTTTGTAAACTTTGTCATTTTTGTGCACCATGTTCGTAATGTTTTTTATGTCTAAAAAACACCCGGGTTGACTTTGGGAAGGAGCCCCTCTATATAGGGATGGAGCCTCCAAAGTCAACCCGGGTGTTTTTTTCCGTTCGTATGGATTGTCGGTCTAGTTTGTCATTTTGTCCACCATGTTCGTACTGTTTGTATGTCTAAAAAACACCCGGGTTGACTTTGGGAAGGAGCCCCTCTATATAGGGATGGAGCCTCCAAAGTCAACCCGGTTGTTTTTTCTTTTTGTATGGTTTGTATTGTTTGTCAGTCTAGTTTGTATTGTTTGTACAGTTCATACGTTTGTAATGTTTGTAAATCTGTTTGTATGTTTTGTCGCTCTAGTTTGTACTGTTCGTATGTTTGTATGGTTTTACTAATTGTAAATCCGGTTTGTATACTTCGTAATTTTCCATAATACCCAAACTACCCCTGCCATTAATTAAATAGCCCTTCCCACTTTTTAACCATTAGATTGAAGTGTCTAGATCTAATGGCTAGGAGGGGTTTAGTCAAGTGACTAAGCACCCCCTTAGTCACCAGATCCGCACTCTATGTATGGGTACAAAGCTTGTTTTTGGCTGGTTTTAGACTAAATAATGACTATATACTGTAATGGATGTTGTAATGAAGTGTAACAATGACAAAACGTTGTAATGGATAGTTTTTTTTTTTTTTTTGATAAAATGGAGGCCGAGGCCATGAGAAGATTACATGGGAGGTAGGGAAGTGCCAGCACCATCACAGTGGTTCTCGGCTACAATATATCTATCGAAGCTAATGCCGCTCATGTCATCCAATATTATCTGCTGCAGCTCAGGAGGCGGGTTCTCAAACTCATACAATCCAAAAGGATAGACGAGACTGTGCTTCGAGAGCCAGTCTGCGGCTCTATTCCCTTCACGATACGTATGAGTGATGCGAACTAACCATCCTTGAGCTAGTTTTCGCCGAATTGAGTCCAATAAGGTGGAGTGAGGGTGGATAGGATCATTCCTCTCGTTTATCAGTTCAATCGCAGCCTTGGAGTCAGTTTCAAGTATCACACACTTTGTCCAATGCTCCAAGCAAGAGAGAGGCCTTCATGTATCGCCCAAAGTTCTGCTAGTACTGCTGTACTGCTACCGATTTTGTAGACAAAGCCTCTAATCCATTCCCCACTAGGGCCTCGAAGCAAGCCTCCAGCTCCAGCTGATCCCGAGCTTCGTAGAGCTGCACCGTCAGTATTAAGTTTATGCCATCCCGGGGGTGGGGGTTTCCATCCGATTTGGGCTAAAATTCTTTCTGCTGGCCCTTGCATATTGTTAAACTTTGGCATTGGGGAATTCCAAGCTGCTGTCCATAAATCCACTGTACATAGAATAGCATTAGTAAGGGATGGCGGAGTGAGAACCTTACTCTGACCATGGAAGGAGAATTCGTTCCTTTGCTTCCGAAGTATCCATGCTGAGACTGCAAAGAAAGCTGCCCATGGAGTTTGTCGAGGTCCTAAGTCGTTGTTGGAAAAATTATCGGAGAGCCACAGTGCTTCTGCTTGTGCAAAGAACTGCGGTTGTTGTGTAGGTGGGATGATTCTCTTCCAGAAGTATTTGGCAGTTGTGCAGTCCCTAAAGATGTGGCTGCGCGACTCGATGACGTTGGGACATCGCAGGCAATATGGAGAGGAAACTAGATTCTTGGGGTGAAGCCTTTGTCTCGTATTGAGCTTGTTAAGGCACAATAACCAGACAAAAGTTCGAACTCGCTCAGGAACCGGGAGCATCCAAATGTTTCTCCAAGGTGGTTGTGGATCTGCTGTAGGTGTTGGCGGTGGATGAGCCAAATCGTATGCTGTCTTTGTAGAGAAGTGGCCATTTGAGGTCTCTCTCCAAAAGATCTTGTCAGCGGAAGTTGCCTGGGCATCAACGGCTATAGCTGTAATCTTGTCTGTTACTTCTTGGGGCAGCAACGATTGGAACTTGGCTTTAATCCATCGTCCTCCTTGGTCAACATACTCTGAGACATTCGTTTGGAGAAGAGATTCAGGGATTGTTGAGTTTGCTAACTGTTGTAGTGGTACCTGCAAAATCCAAACATCAGTCCAGAACTTTGTGTCCTTTCCGTTCTTAATATTCCAAGCACATCCTTTCTCAAGAACATGAGTGGCTTTATTAATACTACGCCAAGTAAAAGAGCTTCCCTTTGATGCATGAAACATGTCCAACCCATGTTTCTTTTTTCCATACTTTGCTTTCATAACTCGTACCCACATGCAGTTGGGTTCTGTGAGCATTCTCCATCCCGTCTTGGCAAGCATTGCAAGGTTGGCATGCCGGGTAGATCGGAGTCCTGCTCCCCCGTTATCTTTTGGTTCTTTTAGCTTGTCCCACGAGACCATGTGCATCGTTCTCTTCTCCTCCGTATCTCCCCAAACAAAGTCCCTGTTACACCGGTCAAAGTACCTGCAAGTAGAAGCAGGCAAGAATTCTGTGTGCATGGGATAAATAGAGACTGAGGAGGAGATTGATTTGACCACCGTTAAACGAGCTGCTAATGACAATCGTCGCGCCTTCCAAGGAGAGAGTTTTTTTTGAATTCGGCAGATGAGCTCAGAGTATCGTTGTTTGTTAACTCGCCCGTTGATGGCTTGGATTCCAAGATAACGGCCAATATCTGATGTAAGCGGGATCCCTGCTCTGTTGCTCAATTCGGTTGCTTTGCTTCGCCTTATATTGGGGGAGACATACATGACCGATTTGGAGAGATTTACCCTTTGTCCCGAGCTTTCACAAAAGTCTTCGAGGCATCCTTTAATAGTATCAATCTGGCTGCTTTTTGCTTCTGCGAAAAGGATTAAATCATCTGCAAAAAAGAGATGAGAAAGTCTCGGTCCCTCTTGGGAAAGTTTCAAGGGTATCCAATATTTCTCATCAATAGCTTGATTGATTCTATGTGAAAGACGTTCCATACACAAGACAAAAAAATAAGTTGTAATGGATAGTTAAACATTAATATTTGTTGGAATGGTTGAAGTAGTAATTGTCTTTTGGCAGGTGAGCTAATTTGCTAGATTTTTATATGCATCCAAAAACGAATATGGATATATGGGCAATATAGATAGAAATGGTATGATGGTATTTTTTACACTTTTTGTCATAAATACCACATTTAAATGACCTTTCCATTTGGTCCATCCAAACAAGATATTTCATTTCTCAATTTTCACAAATGCCATAAAAATACCACGACCACTAATGTTTGAGTTATTATAACCTACAAATACCACATAATAAAAAAAAACACGTCCATAATATGATTTTTGATTCGAATGAGTGATAAACACATAAATGATTTTTTTGTTGCTGAAGTATATTGAAAGTTAAGTTGTTGATAGCATGAATGATAAATGCATTTTAGAAAATAAAACATGAAAAATGCATCGTAGATAATTGTAAATCTTAATTGAATGCATTTTAGCCTTTTAGGATTATTGGTCTTTATGATGATATGGTTACAGAGAGAATCTCGATAATATTAGAATGTGAGCTTTCGGTAGATATTATTATGATTTTTTCCCTCAATTCGATCGTGGGCACTCATGAACCCTTAGGTACCCGATGGGTTGAGTTTGGATTTTCTCTTCCAAAGGCCAGTGAATTTTTTACTAGGTCTTTTTGGTAGATGTGCTTGCTGGATTGAGTTTGGATTTGAAAAAATTCTGATCCAACCCGTCCTATTGTCAACCCTAGGTAGATTAGAGGTTTTGTATGTGTAATTACATAACCAGATGCCCAATTCTCTTTACCCCAGTTCCACTTGGACTTTGGAGTGAAGTTTCTTTTGATTTATGTTAGGCCCGGTAGAAATTTAATTAATCAATTCACAAATTTTTATATAAAAAAGTCCTTCAAGAATAAGAAATACAAACACTAGAGACAACAAATAGAGAATAACAGGCAAGTTCTTCATTCAGTAATAGCAACATACTTGATATCTGAAGTAGAGAAAAGGAGCCAGAAGTAGAAAAAGAAGAAATAGTCTATGTGTATATCCATTCTTCTTTTGTGGGTCTTCCTTTTATAGCAAGAGTGTCTATGCAGTCTAAACCAATATTGTCAGAACCGAATTAGAGTATGAACCGTTATAGTGAACGATTCACATTTTAGTGGTGTAACCGATAATAAACCGTTTAAACTCCGTTATTGACCCGGTACATAATAAACAATAATATTTTAGTACTACATACTTCTCAAAGACACTACACCATAAGTACATTACTCTTAAACAAATAAAAACATCATTTTTCCAGTCATCTAATTATTACAGTAATTTCTCTATTTATTCAAAAGTGTATCCATTAATTACTTGGCTCTTAATTATGTCAATAAGACCTACATAACATTTAAGCCCTTATAAAAAAATCATTAAGTCATTGGCAATCATTCATGATAATAAAATGACCTATTTTATAATTGCCTCTTGACAAAAGGCCAATTACGACTTCACATAGTATTATATTGAAGACAATAAATCAATTGAGGAACAAAAGATTTTGCAGAGGAAGACATGGTCATAGTCATATATTTGCCATCCATTATACTTGATGTCAAAGATAATGAGTGTACTAAATTTGGCGAAAGATTTCTGTGAGAGTGAGAGTGAAAGTAAAATAAAGGGGAGGGGAGGGGAATATAGAGTGAAAGTACCACATCGGTTGTGTACTACGAAGTGCCACATCCTTCCTTCCCGATCCATCGATCTCTAACACCACCGGAGACACGTCTCCTCTATCACCCCCACCGTCAATGCATTCTACTTCGCGGCCGCCATCGAGCTTCCTCGCTGCAGCCTTCTTGCCCTCTTTCTCGATGTTTTTTGCAACTCCGCCAGGCTTCCGAGGGCTTCTTCTTCACTCTAGCAATTGAGGATCTAAATCGACAATTTGGGGAATAAGACCTTCTTCTCTAGTCATTCTATTAAGTGACACCGTTAAAGAGATGGATGAGAGTTGCTATTTTGTGTATCTTGAAAGTTGTGGCTATAATTGCCACAAACGTGAAAGTTGTGGATGTGGAAGTGTATTTTGCTTTTTTGTTAATCCACGTGGATTGGTGGGGAAGAAATATTGTCAACTCATCATTTTCGTTAGTCTAGTCATACTGTTAAGTGACACCGTCAAAGTGATGGATGCAAGTGGCTAGTTTGTGTATTTCGAAAATTGTGGCTATAACTGTCACAAATGTGAAAGTTGTGGATATGGAAGTATATTTTCCCTAAAAAAAATCCACTACTACGTCTTTTATAAATATTTGGTGGTGGTACTCTTGATAAGTATGGGATCAAAGTGTTTGTTCATACTAGTTTTCATTGCCCGCGCTCTGCGCCGGGATGGGTGAGAATTTAGAAATACTGTTTTATCGTTGGATTGCAATAACTTGTGTTTTTTTTTATAAACTGCAATAACTTGTGTTGGCAGAAGGTGTTAACAAAATGAACCAATTCATGTGATAACAAAGAACGCTGTCATTAACTTCCGAAAGATAACACCTAGCATTGCAATTCGAAATAACAACATTCTCATTGGCATTTCAAGAGGAGAAATAATTAGAGACAAAGTTAGGCGGCCAGCAGAAGACATGAAAACATATGAATGATAGATTCTGACCAAGTGTGTGCAATTCCTAATTTGAAAAATAACAACATTCTCATTCATTCCTAATGTGGCAAGCTGAAAAAGTTCATTCATCTTCCATAAATAGTGTCACGAATAGGAGGTTGTGTTTCAATAGGAATCCAAATAAACCCAACTGAGTAGAGGTCAGCATCCATTTTGAGACCTGTAAAACAACCCAACATTTATAGTAAGAATCATCCCACTAAATAGAAAGATAAAACATCATGTAAAACCAATAATCTATTGGGTGATTGATTTCGAAGCTAATTGAAATACATAATAAAAAGATTCAATTACTTGGGGAGATTTCCCAGTAAGCAAAACAAACTTCCACTCGCGTAACAGAAATGAGAACATAGGCCTGATAAAGTAAAATGAAAAGAATGGATCTGTTCTAATCAACCCATGGCATTTTGGTAGTCCACGATCAAAGAACTCCATAGCAAAACGAATAGGTCAGACCAAACCAAAATATGCATATCTTGCATTACTGAGGCGGCAAAAACGAATATGCCAACAGGAGAAGGACAACTCCACTAAAATCATGGCACCATGACTACCTCCACTCGCCAGAATCTCTGAACTGAACATAATGCAGTGGAGGAGTAGCTCCACCCCTCCACCTCAAGAGTGAAGATGGCACAACCTCATGAGGGAAAATGTGTACGACCCCGTCTAAGAAAACCGATAAAAGCAAAATAAAAAGATCAGGGAGACCAAACAATTACCTGGAAGTAAAACAAAAACTGTGAATCTATAAAATTCGCCGAATCAATCGTTCCAAACCCAATCTATAGCCACACGACTTCATCTCAGATCATTCACTTCATAACCTAATAACACAACAGGGGAAAAAATCAAGTCAGAGAAACACGACAAATAGAAACTGAGGAATGAATCTTCTTCGAGATTGAGAGAGGAGAATCACGTTCAGAGGATTAGCGTTTGGAGGAGAGAACAAAACTAAAGGACATCAACAGAGAATACCTAGAGGATATGGAGTTAGAGGCCCCCCGTAGGCATCCCCGATCTGAGTAGTCGTTTCGACGAAGATGATGGATGAGACCGTCCGAGTGTGGTTGCAAAAATGATGAAATCACAAAGAAAGAGCGTACCCACTCAGAAGGAAAAGCTCCGTATCAAATGCAGAAGTGGAAAAGGGAACCTCATTTTCGATCGATTGAACCCAGCGATCCACTGTGGCCGATCACTGCGAAACCGGAACTCCATCCATCTCGCTGCTGCTGCTGCGAGATCCCCATAAAATTACAACATCGAGGTCGTCATATCAAACTATAGAGTACACAGTTTCCAATACCTGCGATGTCGGGGGATGGATTCTGAAGTTCCAAATCCTTTTCTCCAGTTGAGAACTTCGCCTGCGACCAAAATGACGATGCTCCGGCAGTGAATTAAAGAACAACAAAGCTTGCCTCGATCTGTCAATTAACAAATCCAAGAGCGAGATGGGAAGAGAGAGTTTCAAAAGAGGAGAATTGAGAGACCAAAAGCGGGGATGCTTCCATTCTATTCTAAACTGGAGATAAAGGGGAGAGGGTTGGTTTTTTGTTTCTCAAAAATCCTGTCAGAAACTATGGAAAATATGTGGCTGAGAAAGGAGGTACAGAGACAGAACAAAAGTAGACAGTAGACTTTTTGGCCTCTCTGTGTGCATTGAGCAGCGCGACGGCGAGTCTCTCAAGGCACATACTGACACTGTTCTCATGAATGACACCTAGCTATCTCATCTCTGCAGCCGTGCAGCAAACTCTTTCATCCTCTCTATTCACGTCAAACTCAACTCTAACACTCTTTCTACAGCTCTGGTCATGTCAAGCAAAAAGTTGAACCCTAAAATGGCAGTAGCTTTCTCTCTGGTTTGCCGAGTGATCAATGCGTGTGAGGTGGACGAAGAGGACAACCAACCAAAGGCAAACCAGAGTTCTAAAGCAACCGAACTACAAAAATCATGTCAGAAACCAATGAGTTCCTCCATGCACCCGCCCACACCCGAGTCCCTTCCTAGTCGAAACAGTAATTATGAGTCACTAAGCACAGTAAAAGGTCTCTTGCGCTACAGGGAATGGGGATGTTGGGGGATTTCTTTTTTCAATTGAGGCCCAAGCGTTTGCCTTCATGAGGTGCAAGCCAGACTCAATGTAAATGGGCCTAGGCGGCTAGGCCTATGGACTTTTAGGCCAAATTTTTTACTGAACAGAGTTAGAGACTCGAGTGTTGGGAACTTGCTACTTGGTTTGAACGGTTTGAGCGGTTAACTTTTCGAATCGTTTGCCGACTGACCTACTTATAGTAAATGCTTTTTTGGCTATTTCGAGACAGGCTAGTGTCTGGGTCCCATTTTACCAGTCAAAACGATTGGCTCGGTTCGACTTTGAAAACACTGCTCTAAACATCATCAATAGAGAGTTGGAAAGATGTTGATTGGGGGGAACCAATATGGACTAGTTGAATTTCATAATACTTCTTCTTAGATGTGTATTGATTCAGAATATGTCTCGTTACTATCTTGCTAGGAAAACCCCTATGGATAAAAACTTATTGAAGCAAAAAGATTACATACCTTTTGTGATATGCTTTTGTATATACTACCTCATCCAAAACCTTACAAGAGAAATCAGTGAGAAATAATCATGGTTAAGGGAAAAAGAGTCTAATGCGTAAAGTCTCTGATGTGACGTAGTATATCGCAAAGTAATAATCCGAGATATGTCTAGATTTGTATTCCATGGGTCTTCCGATGGTAGCTACTTCGAACTAAATGCTTGTGCTTGAGATGGGAAAGCAATGAAAAGTAAATTCGATGGATTGAGATTCTCTAAAGTTGATTGATAGCTTATATGTTTAAATAATGCAAGATAAATATAGCAAGTAAAGTAGACAACGATTAAAGGAATTGATTAAAACTACTTTCTAGGCAGCCTCATTTAGATGATCATGCACAATAAGCCATTAATGATATGCATCCAAACATCTCTTCTATTATGATGTCCTATTTCTTCCTCTAATGCATTCCTAAATGAGCTTTCACTAGATGTGAGAGTAATTACAACTAGTTACTTCGTGCTTTTGCTTCATGTTCTTTGTTGGGATTGAGATGTTCTTTTGGTGTTTTTGTTTGGCTCTTATTAGGTTCATGTCCCTTGCAAATAAGTTTCTTCATGTAGAGGTTGACCAAAGGTTTCTCCCGATAAAAGGCATGCTTTGCGCAAAGTGACTAATTGAGAATTAAGTTGTGACAGTTGTGCTTTAGTAGAACTTGATCATATCTTGATTACTGTGCGATCCTTGCCTATAGCGGTTGGATGGAGGATGATTTTGTTTCCTGCGGGTCTCAATTAAGCCATGGTAGCTTGGTTGGGTGTTCTTTATTGATGAATTTGGAAAGGAAGATGTCCTCAAACTAGAGCCCTTCTAGTGTGCTCTATAGCACCCATGCTATAAAAAACAAAAAAAAAAGGTGACCTGTTGAGGAGGTAAACCCACTAAATGACTGGTCCCACATCATTAATGGCAATCTTGTAAATAATGAATCAATGTATACAAGTGTAGGTACAACTTAAAGTTGTACCATTAGTATAGGTACAAGTTTCAGCTGTACCATTGAAGAATTTGTTTCACAAAGTGTAGGTACAACTTAAAATTGTACCATTAGTATAGGTACAATTTTGAGTTGTACCATGAAGGGATTTATTAGAAAGTGTAGGTACAACTCAAAATTGTACCATATTATAGGTACAAGTTTGGGTTGTACCATTAAAGAATTTTGAGAAAGTGTAGGTACAACTTAAGGTTGTACCATTAGTATAGGTACAATTTTTAGTTGTACCATAAGGGATTTGTAAGAAAGTGTAGGTACAACTTAAATTTGTACCATGGTATAGGTACAATTTTGGGTTGTACCATAGAAGGATTTTTAGAAAGTGTAGGTACAACTTAAAGTTGTACCATTAGTATAGGTACAATTTTGAGTTGTACCATAAAGAGATTTATTAGAAAGTGTAGGTACAACTTAAAGTTGTACCATTAGTATAGGTACAATTTTGAGTTGTACCATAAAGAGATTTATTAGAAAGTGTAGGTACAACTTAAAGTTGTACCATTAGTATAGGTACAATTTTGAGTTGTACCATAAAGGGATTTATTAGAATGTGTAGGTACAACTTAAAATTGTACCATATTATAGGTACAAGTTTGGGTTGTACCATAGAAGGATTTTGAAAAAGTGTAGGTACAACTTAAGGTTGTACCATTAGTATAGGTACAATTTTTAGTTGTACCATAAAGGGATTTGTTAGAAAGTGTAGGTACAACTTAAGGTTGTACCATTCGTATAGGTACAATTTTTAGTTGTACCTTAAAGGGATTTGTTAGAAAGTGTAGGTACAACATAAAGTTGTACCATAGTATAGGTATAAGTTTGGGTTGTACCATAGAAGGATTTTGAAAAAGTGTAGGTACAACTTAAGGTTGTACCATTAGTATAGGTACAATTTTGAGTTGTACCATAAAGGGATTTATTAGAAAGTGTAGGTACAACTTAAAGTTGTACCATTAGTATAGGTACAATTTTGAGTTGTACCATAAAGGGATTTATTAGAAAGTGTAGGTACAACTAAAAGTTGTACCATTAGTATAGGTACAATTTTGAGTTGTACCATAAAAGAATTTTGAGAAAGTGTAGGTACAACTTAAGGTTGTACCATTAGTATAGGTACAAGTTTGGGTTGTACCATAGAAGGATTTTGAAAAAGTGTAGGTACAACTTAAAGTTGTACCAAGGTATAGGTACAAGTTTGGGTTGTACCATAGACCGATTTTTAGAAAGTGTAGGTACAACTTAAAGTTGTACCATGGTATAGGTACAAGTTTGGGTTGTACCATAGAAGGATTTTGAGAAAGTGTAGGTACAACTAAAAGTTGTACCATTAGTATAGGTACAATTTTGAGTTGTACCATAGAGGGATTTGTTAGAAAGTGTAGGTACAACATTAAGTTGTACTATAGTGTATAGGTACAATTTTTAATTGTACCATAGAAGATTTTTAGGAAAGTGTAGGTACAACTTTAAATTTAGTGTAAAGGTACAACTCTAGAAAGTGTAGGTACAATTTTGAGGAAACACGGCTCATCTCACGACCGTGACATGACCCGTGACAAGCAAAGAGTAGTTTTCCTATCTCCAGACAATCACACGGCTTATTCTCACGCCCGTGAGAATTAACAGATGAGCCGTGAGAGGTACAGCATTCAAATCCAAAACACGGCTCATCTCACGACCGTGATAACGTCGAAGGCAACCCGTGAAACCCTCTGGGAAACTGAGAAGTGCGTTTTTACATCCACGGCTTATCTCACGTCCTATCTCACGGCCGTGGTATTTCCAGAATTACATATCCAAAACCACGTCTTCTTTCACGGCCGTGGGATTTCCAGAATTGGCCGTGAGATTTCCAGAAATAGTCTGCACAGACATGCACCTGTACAACTAACCCTTGTACTTATTATAATGGTGTAAGTAACATAATATACTGTTTGTGAAAACTACAAGCTTATGAAAAGATGAGTCATAATGTTCTTTGAAGCTTGACACGAGCATTACATAGATCCTTCTCTAGTAACTGTACATCATATCAGATGAGATACCCTGTTAACAAAAAGTAAAAAGCAGTCAAAGCTTTACATTTGTCTTATAAAACAAACATCCATAACACGATTAAATTTGTCTAATTAATGCTTAAGTTTAGATGCATGTAGCCCACACTGGTGCACCATAATATTCTAATTGGAAAACATACAAGCACAAAAGCAAACACACATAGCTAAGTACTAAGGACTTTGGTTGGCTCATCTTCACTGCCCATCTTTCTCGTTAGTGTTCTCGTCCTCGTCTTTGTTTTCCTGGATTTGCTCATCTTCATTGTCCTCGCTAGAGTCACTGCTGTCTTCCTCATTGGTCCCTTTGACCTCTTGATTTTTTTCCTTGTTTTGGTCATCGCCATTGCCCTCGTCGTCCTCTTCACTGCTGTCTTCCTCATTGGTCCCTTTGTCCTCTTCAATGCTTTCCTTGTTTTGTTCCTCTCCTTTCTCCTCTTGATTTTTTTCCTTGTTTTGGTCATCGCCATTGCCCTCGTCGTCGTCCTCTTCACTGCTGTCTTCCTCATCGGTCCCTTTGTCCTCTTCAATGCTTTCCTTGTTTTGTTCCTCTCCTTTCTCCTCTTGATTTTTTCCCTTGTTTTGGTCATCGCCATTGCCCTCGTCGTCGTCCTCTTCACTGCTGTCTTCCTCATTGGTGTCACTGTCCTCTTCAATGCTTTCCTTGTTTTGTTCCTCTCCTTTCTCCTCTTGATTTTTTTCCTTGTTTTGGTCATCGTCATTGTCCTCGTCGTCGTCCTCTTCACTGCTGTCTTCCTCATCGGTCCCTTTGACCTCTTCAATGCTTTCCTTGTTTTGTTTCTCTCCTTTCTCCTCTTGATTTTTTTC